GAAGGAAAGATAAGACAGGCGTGCTTCTCTCCTTCCAAGGGCATGACTCAGAAGTTGCAGAAATCACTTCTGTGCTCACCTTAATGGCCAGAACTTAGTCACATACTCCCAGAGAAAATACAGGGGTAGGGGTTGTTACTAAAGGAAGATGGTAGCATGGTTATTTGGAGACCAATTTACAATCCCTGGCTCACTGCCACTTCCCTTGAACCTGCTCCTCCTCTTCCTCTCATGGCTTCCCTCTGTCCTGTCTGTGGGCATCATCATCTATCATCCAAGGGCTGGGTGTTCTATTTGTCCACCCTGCCCTTGTCTCCAGGGCTCCACCCTGCACAGCCCAAGGGGCACCATCCATGTCGCAGTCTACACTTCACAAAGAGCTGTTCAGTAAGGCAGCCCTGCTCATCCCTCACAGCTGACTGGACATCCTATCAAGTCCCTCTCCTGTGTTTTTCTTGAGTCACTTTTCTTCATTCCATCTCACCTGTTCTCCTCTGGGTCTTCACATTTTATTGCTTGGATCTTTACAATGGCCTTCCTAGTGGTCTTCTTGCCCCCATTAGACTCTCTCCCCTCCAACCCATCCTCCACTGCCTCCATAGCAATCTTTCTAACAAAACCATTAATACAATAGCTCTGCTTTACATTCTTCAGGGACTTCCCATGTCCACCCCCTTAGCAAGGCTCACTCAAGGGCCGGCCTGGCCCTCATCTTGAATTGTTCCATCACCAGCACCCTGTCCAGCAGTCACACTCTGGGGCCCTCCCACACATCTGTGCCTCTGAACTTTCAGGACCTTCTGCCTGGAGGGCCCTTTCCCTTCTCACCTCCTTCACCAAGACTTTGTTCTAACATTTTCCTCTGCAAAATTTTCCTTGATGTCTCCACCTCTCAGAGAGTCACACTCCCTTCTGCTGGTACATTATATCATAGTGTTAGAATCATATCACACATTTTAAAAGCTCTGAAATGAGATGGCATTGTCAGCTGGCATGCTCTTGACCTCTACTGGAGTCATGTTCTCCCAGAGAGGACTGCCAGCCACCAGAGGCAGCACCAACCTGAGACTCGACAGCCTTCTGGATGACCATCAACGAGCCCGGCCTCTCGGTGTTCATGTCCTTGTGTATCCTCTCCCCTTGGGCGTGGGCTGGACACAGTGACTTGCTTCCAGTGAAGAAGAGTACAGCGTAAGTGACTGCCAATGAATACTGCCTATTAATAAGTAAAAACTACTCATTAACTTTACAGGGGAGAAATCTGACAGACACCATCTTAACCAAGTGGTAAAAATTAAAATTACACCAATACACATGGCAGCACACAACTCCTGATGTGATGCACTGAGGTCACAGGATCACTTCTGGAACATTCCTGCCAAAGACACATGGCCTGAACCTAATCATGAAGAAATATCAGGCAAACCCAACAGTGAGGCACATGCTACAAAGTACCTGATCTGTAATTTTCAAAAGTGTCAAGGTCAGAAAAGTCAAAGCAAGTCTGAGGGAATGATCCAAATTGAAGAGAAGAAAGAGACGTGACAGCTACACGGAAAGCATTGTCATGAACTGGATCCTGGACCTATATGGAATATAACTGGGACAACTGGCAAATTTTGAATGAGCCCTCTTGATTAGATGGCAAAGGTATCACTGTTAGTTGATGGATAGCTTGTGGTCATGTGGGAGAATGTTCCAGTCTGTAGGAAGAATGTGCTGAAGTGCTAAGGCTGAATGACACAGAATGTGTGCATCTTCCTCTCAAATGCTTAAGACATCTGAATATATATATATGGAAAGAGAACAAGAAAACAAATGTGGTAAACTGTTAGCTGGGGAATCTGAGTGAAGGCACACAGTTCTTTGTTCTATTCTTGCAGCTCTTCTGTAAATTTCAAATGATTTAAGTATAAAACTTTTAAAAAAGCCTTCCCAGTTGTTACTGGTGTTTTGATTTTCCATTAGTTCTTCCTAAACAAGTTTTTAAAAAGTCCAATTTATCAAGCTTTTCCCTTTTGGCTTTTGGGTGATGTGTCTTGCTTGGGGTAGTCATTTGAAAAAAGTCCCAGAGTCCACAGCTAATTAAAGAGAAAAGGTGGTAAGTCTGATCCCACTTCTACAAGAGAAACACCAATGGGCACTGAGAAAGAATGCTCAGCTTTTTTTAACTAGAGCTGTAGCTTAGCAGATGGAAATGGGGGAGTCCTACTTGACTGCCCCCCGGGCATCTTCAGTTGAATTTCTGCAAACACCTCAAATTCAGCAGAACTAAAACCTAGCTAATCTTTTCCCTCAAACTAGTCCCCTCTCTGGACTTTTCTACTTCTGACAGTCAGGTATCCAAACTCAGGAGTCACCTTTGTGTCCTGTCATTCTTCCCACATTGAACCAGAAACTGACCTTCTTTACTCTGTGTGTTCTGCCACCTCCTATTCCAGACCCTCATCCTTTAACCCTGGGCTGGCACTAGAGTCCTCTCCATTTATCTCCTACTTGCTGCTGGTCCATCACCTAATCCTGTAATAGAGCTCTTCAACCACCCACCACTTAACTGCCTTATGTTGTTTTTTATATATAGTATTACTTTAAAATACGTAGAAACATAACATCAACCCCTTATTCTTAGAGCTCTCATTCAATTCTAAAGTCAAAACAAATTTACAAATCAAATATAAACAAAAGCATAAAACTAATAAGATTCAAATTAACATTTAAGGCCAGATGCTGTTCTATTGATTCACCCCATGGTTGTGGCACCACTGACTGGCCTTTCTGGAATTCCGTGTGCCTGTAACATCATGGGCACTGATGGCCAATTTTCCCACCATTTTCCCCTACTGGAAGTTGTACAAAACCACAGTTAGTACAGTCAGTCACAGGAAATTGGCCTTCACTTCGACACAGGTGCATCATTATGGATTCATTCCTTTCTCTACTCTTTTCTTGTCAGCTTGTGACAGAGTAACTTGG